CCCCCACCCCAGGAAGGGCTTTACCATCCCGCTACAGCACCATCCTGGAGGCAGCGAGATGCAGGATAGCCCCCCCCTCACCCCCAGGACGCCCCATGTTGCAGGACCGGGACACACCTGCACACATCACGCTGGCGTCTTCCCCATGATGGCAGTTGGTTTGCCCCCAAGGACGGGCTCGACACTGGGACAGGGCTTCCTCGCTCCCCGTACAGGCCACGTCGTCCAGCCAGATGCGCCCCGTCGCCATCCCAAAGCGAGCCTGGACAGGAGCTGCCTCCACTCTGCCGCAGCCCAGCTGCCGGCACACCACCGCCGCATCGTTCAGGTCCCAGCCATCGTCGCAGACCGTCCCCCACTGCCCGGCGTAGAGCACCTCCACCCTCCCAGCACATCGGTGTGGCCCGTCCGCCAGCCGCAGGTCGCTTGAGCTGGAGTTGCCTGCTTTTGGGGAGAGGGAAGAAGGTGAGAGCGTGGTCGTGGGGCGATCCCACGTCCCAGGACCTGCAGCATCCCACGTGCCTCCGGGGAAGAGCAGGGCAGGGACAGTGGTTGGGCATTGGTAGCGTCGACTAAAAATGCGAGAGAAGCCGTTGGAACAGGCTGCCCAGGGAAGTGGTGGAGTCACCATCCCTGGAGGGGTTCAAGAAGCATGTCGATGTGGGGCTTGGGGACATGGTTTAGTGGGTTGGGTGGGGTTGGATGGACAGTTGGACTTGATGATCCTTGAGGTCTTGTCCAACCTTCGTGATTCCATGATGATGATGAGTACAAAAGGTATTGGTGCGGTTGGGCGCTGCTGTTTTACCGGGGGGACAAAACCCGGGGCTGCAGGGTTTGGGTCTGAAGAGACCTTTAAAGACCATCTGGTGCCACTCCCCTTCCATGGGCAAGAACATCTCAAAGCGCCATCCAACCAGAGCTTCATCACTTCCAATGGAGACTCATGGAATGGGTTGGATGGGAAGGGACCTTAAAGATCATCCACTTCCGCCCCCTGCCACGGGCAGGGCCACCTCCCCCCAG